TATTATTTTTCACTAATCTAATCTAATCTCTATATAATCTTGTATTTGCATTCATTTTCTTCCGTTTTTTGCCTTTATTCTTCTTCATTTTAACCTATTCTTAACCAAAGGCAATGAATCCGATAGCCTCTCAGAGGACCTAAACCACCCGCTCTCTGCGCCCAGCCACTACCTCATTGGCGATAGATCGTTATCCAACTGCTCTCTGGATTGCCAACAGGCTTTTGGAGAGGCCGTGTTTGATAGAACTGGCAAGATCAGCCGTTCAGTGGCTAACAGGCCCGCTGATGAAGCAAAAGGTTCCAAAGACAGCAGCGCTTTCCGAGACATAAAACTCATAGGCCGACGGCGCCGGCTACGTCGGCTTTCTAGGGGCTTCTGTGTGGGTGGCCACTATGGTATGATTGGTTACTTTCCTCCTATCCATCCTCATTTTATCCATCTCCTTTATTCTAACTTATAAACCTATCCTCTTATTACCACTTATTTTTTCGTCTCCGATACATCTTTTGCACTCAATGGTGTATAAATTCATCATCAGATCTTCACCTCACTGTATGCTAATAAGCTCATATAAAAATTATAGTTTGATATACCTTCCTATCGACTATTATAGTTAGTTAATTGCGTAAATAGATTGAGTTTCTCACATTGATTGCGTCATTCAATAGGGCGTGGTTTTGACTTTATTGATTCCTCCTAAAATGGTTAAAAACACTTTATTAAGGGCATAAACAAGGAATATCAAAGTTATGCTTAATTAATAAGTGGCTATGCACTCTCTTCCACCATTAATCGTGATGTGATCCTTTGCGGTGCCAAATACTTTTCGGAATTTAGCTCCTCCTTCTTCAAGATGACCCTTCGACATGTTTTTCGTTTTAGTGCTGGCCAATTGAGCAGGCTGAACATGAATATAAGTATCATAACTATCCTAGAAAGGCTGCAAGCTGTTTATTTTACGTATACACTATTTGTCATTCATACTTGAGATAGTGAGGCTGTACCCAACCAACTATCTCATAAAAGAATGTAGAAAAAGTAGGCTTA